GGAGGGGGGCTGGGGGATCAGAGCAGGGGGGCTGGGAGCCAGGACTCCTGGGTTCTCTCCCTGGCTCTGGGAGGGGAGGGGGGCTGGGGGATCAGAGCAGGGGGGCTGGGAGCCAGGACTCCTGGGGTCTATTTCTGCCATTTGAAGGGGGAAGGGATGCAAAAAATACCACCGTCCTCCCAGCCCCATCCCATCACCAGCCCCCACTTCCCTCCCAGAACTGGTGAGAGAACCCAGGAGTCCTGGCTCCCAGATTCTATCCCTCAGTCTCCCCCTCCCCCTCGAGCTGCCAGTAGAACCCAGGCGTCCGGCTTCCCAGGGAGCTGTTGCAGCCGTTTCACCGCCTGGCGGGGCGCTGAGCGGGTGCTCTCGGGTTGAGTAAGCGCCGGGGAGGAAGCGGCAGGGGAGCGCTCGCATTTACCTTATAAGGGCTTGAGCCGGAGCGGCTGGGTTCCCTCCGCAGCCCCTCTGACCGCTTCCCTCCCGGGCGGGCGCGCGGGGGGGGATGGAGCTTCCTGTTTTCGCTGACACGTTCGAGCCCTGCAGCTGAGCAGGCAAGAACTGAACCTCGGGTCCCAGCCCGGGCCCTGTGTCATCAAACGCAGCCACCTCTGGGGTGGGGCGGCCGGTTCCCCGGGGACCCCTCGCCTGGCGCTGAGATGCAGCCACCTCTGGGGCGGGGCAGCAGGTGACACGGGGACCCCTCGCCCGGTGCTGAGATGCAGCCACCTCTGGGGCGGGGCGGCTGGTTACCCAGGGACCCCTCACCCGGCGCTGAGACGCAGCCACCTCTGGGCCGGGGCGGCTGGTTACCCAGCGACCCCTCGCCCGGCACTGAGATGCGCCCACCTCTGGGGTGGAGATGTGGGTGGAAAGGAGAATTTTGACCTGACAGCTTCCTGTGAACCCATGACCCTAGGGAGACGTTGCCACATGCATTTCATTGTTCTTATGTCCCAACAGAAGAAACACAGTTCTAGGCCTGTCTCTAGGATTCCTGGGTTCTCTCCCCGGCGCTGGGAGGGGAGTGGGGGCTGGTGGGTTAGAGCAGGGGGGGTGCTGGGAGGCAGGACTGTTATCCTCTCACTGTATGAGCTTGCCCTGGTCCCGCCCCTTCTGTGTGCCTCAGTTTCCCCCATATGTCAGGACTAACGCCCACCTTCTGTGTCTCTGCCAGGGGACGAGTATGACGTCTGTGCCATCTGTCTGGATGAGTACGAGGAGGGCGACCGGCTGCGGATCCTGCCCTGTGCCCACGGTGAGGACTCTTGGGTTCTCTCCCCGGCTCTGGGAGGGGAGTGGGGGCTCGTGGGTTAGAGCAGGGGGGGCTGGGAGCCAGGACTCCTGGGTTCTCTTCCCAGCTCTGGGAGGGGAGTGGGGGCTGGTGGATTAGAGCGAGGGGGCTGGGAGCCAGGACTCCTGGGTTCTCTCCCCGGCTTTGGGAGGGGAGTGGGGGCTGGTGGTTGCGGGGGTCAGGGAGCCGCCTGGATGCCTGGGTTCCACTCCCGGTGGCGGGGTGTAACTGCTCTCCCCTGCCCCCAGCCTATCACTGCCGGTGTGTGGACCCCTGGCTGACGCAGACCAAGAAGACCTGCCCGGTGTGTAAGCAGCGTGTGCTGCGGACGGCCGAGGACTCGGACTCGGAGGGCGAGGGGCACCCGCGGGGCGAGGAGGAGGAGGAGGAGGAAGAGCAGCGCCACTCGGAGCGGACCCCGCTGCTGGGCCCCTCCTCCACCGCCGGCACCCCGTCCTTCGGCAGCATGGCCGAGGCGCGGGGCCCGCCCTCCGGCGAGGAAGGCTCCGAGGAGGAGCAGGAGGGGTCCCTGGGTGCTCGCAAGGAGCATGGCCCTGAGGGCCTGGCGGGCAGCATCCTTGTCTGAGCCCCCGTATGGGGCAGCTGCTTGGACTTCCCGGGGGGTCTCTACTCCCGAGCTTTCTTGGTATTTTAAACCGTGCACAAAACAGGGGCCCCCAATGGGGATCCGGGCTTGGACCCCCTTCCTGTGGAGTGGGGTGACCCCCAGCTCCCTTTTGGGCCTGCAGCCCCTGCCCCGGGGGATTATGTGCCAAGGCTCCAGGGCTGGGGGACTTGGGGTGTCACATCTTTGCAGGGTGGGGTGTGTGTGGGGGGGTCTTTTGCACAGCTCAGGGTGTGAGGGGCATAGAGGGGGGACCGA